CCCCCCCCCCCCCCCCCCCCCCCCGCGCTCCTCAACTCCGAACCCACACCTGCAAGGGGCCGCCGCCGACAGATCGAAAGCCTCCAAGACTCATGGATCCAATCCCAGCGCTGCACACCCCTCCGCCGCCGCCGCCGCCGCCACCGCCACCGCCAGCCCCGACGCCTCCTGACCCTTCCGCCCTCCCGCCTCCGCCGCCCCTGCCAGCCGGGACAGAAAACGCACTGCTCGAGCTCTGCACGTGCGGGTCCCACGAAGCGCTGGACGGTTTCGGCAGCCCCGGTGTCTGCGGCGGCGACGGAGCGGCCAGCCCGGTAGCATCAACGGCACCTATCCCCCCGCCACCACCGCCCCCCCCAACAACCGCCTCCACAGCTCCGCAACGAACCCTCGGTAGACCAGCGGTGGCATCCCGGCGATCACCGCCCAGTGTGGTCGCAGAAGCAGGCGGCACGAAAGCGGCGTTGCCGTTGGCCGCCGGGGATGCGGGGATCGCTCCGCCGGGGCGGGGCTGGGGCTTGACCACGAACTTCTTTTGCTGGACCGGGCTGGAAAGAATGGCCATCACCTCCTTGTCCGCCGACGCATCCCCGCCCTGCTGCTGGTGCTGGTGCTGCTCTTGCATTATGAATGCTATCTGAGGCCAGCCGATGTTGCCCACTGGAATGAATGAAATCACTTCTGTGAAAGGGTAGACTTTCCTCTCTCCCTTACTGGCAGTATCAGTGTAGCGGCAGATATCGGTGCCTCGATAGATGGGGCTTGTCGTGATTCACGGTAGTAGAAGCACACCAGTTTCGGGACTGGCTCAGCGGGAACTGAACCTTGTGCTCACGTACGTCCTGCAATACTCCTGAGGGCCTCCCTTTCGCCTCGGGTTACCAACCGCCCACTGCCAACACCCCGCTCCCCATTTCTTATCTACCGCCCTTTGTTTTTCGCTCTCGCTCCGTTTCTTTCCTTATTGAACGAACAAGCTCCTGGGGAGCACACACACGAAACATCGAGGCACGGGTTGGGTGTTTGAGGCCGGGTGCCCTGCTTCAGTTTTTCTTCCAGCAGGAAATTGGCGGAGACTTCAAACCTGCTGTCTAACAAGCGAAAGGGATATACAACCAGAACACAATCACCCCCGTCGCAATTCATCAACATGCGATGCTGCTGCCTGAAACAGCGGTAGTTCTCACGGCAACCCCAACTGCTGCCTCATTTGTTTGGCACAACACACTGCGGGGAGGGAGCACAGACGGAAGAAGGAGCGATCAGGGTAAGGAGAAAACAACGGCACTCACTTGTCCCGCTTTTTTTTTTTTCAATGCCCTCTCTTTGCCTTTAGCCCGCCCCCCGACGCCGCCCAAAACGGCAGGCACGCTTGTCGGCTCCGCTATTCCAGCAAAACGACAAGAGGTCAACAGAGAATGCCGAGCCGATCATGCGACGCCGCGACAATGGGGTAGCCACCCCGCAACCACGCTCGGCCGGGGTCGGGTATGTGTAGGACCCCACGCCCCGGAGGCCCTCCCTCTCATCAAAAATCATCGCTCCGGCCGTTGGTCCAAAGTCTAAGACCTTCATTGGCTAGTAACTCTTGCGCCAACTATCACTGCTAAGGCCTGCTCGTGCCAAAGCATCGCCGACAGCTCCACCGCAACTGAACCCGTCACATGTGCCAGTGGCGCGCTGAGCCAAAAGCTATTGCAGCTGCCGGCGGTGATGGGCGTGCCGTTGTAAAAAGGGACGACGACTTGCCCCCGTCGGCAAACCGAAACCCGACCCCTCTCGTTGCTCGCGCTCTCGTTCGGTCCGGGCGACCGTGATCGAGCCTTAACGTCCACGCCAACGAATTTCACGCATTCTCTCCTTCCTCACCTTTCTGGCAGAGTCAGGCGCTCCAGCTCCCGCTCTCCTTCTCTCTCACCCGCTCTCTTCCATGCGTGAGTGTGAGAGGGAAGACCGCAAGAGCAACCCGCGGCCCGGGTAAACCGGCATAGAGGGGGGGCCGCGTATAGGAACGTTCGGATGAGGGGGTGGGGGTGGTGACGCATTTTTGCCCACGTTGGTCGTCCTTGCTTTTTGCCTTTTGGTCATATGTTATGGTTGAGCACGTTCGCTCTAGGCCGGGAACATCGCCGACGATACTGCTGCTGCTTGTCGTGTTCAGAACAGGGCCAGGTGTGTAGAAAGTCGATAGGTTGGCGTGCTTTAAAAAGAGACTCGCAGAGCTGCCGCCTGTTCTATGCACGTGCAAGTATAGGATTGAGACGCCCGAAAGCGTTTGTTCATCGCCGCATACAAATAAATTAGAACGTCTGGTTGCCTCTGATACAGCATTTATTATTGAGGTAGTTACGGCTGTACCACGGGGTGTGCGAAGTCGGTGTATATTTATTTGCGCTGAACACAAATACAGAAGTAATACAGAAGTATCCAACTACAACATTGTGTCCATGTCCTACTTACAGCTGGTAAATGCCTAGATTGTCCCTCTTTTTTTCATCTCAATGCGTAGTTGAAATAAAATACGTCACTGCTGCAGCTGGTAAACGCCGATAGCAGCTGCTGTTGTACAACTGCTGTACATAAAAAAAATGTGTGTTTGTAGGGTAGACTACGGGACGCAAGCTGTACGAAGAACAACACCCCGCGAATCGCCGCCATTCGCCCCTTCGTCCCCCCGGCCTCTGTTATATCATTGCACCACTTCCGCATGAAGCTTTTCCCCTGCCTGCCAGAAGCTGCACCAGCACTCTCGGGAGGCCCGCCCGGCAGCAGCCCCAACCAAGCGAGAGCGAGAAATACTTGGGTCCGAGTTTGCCCCACCTCCGAAATATAACTCGTTGGGCAGCGTTTGTCCTGATGGAGGACGCTGCACCAGTGGGGGCGGCGGCTGCGAGTGCTGCTTCTCCGAGTGCTGCCGATGGGCACGGGGAGGATACGCCGTTGTTTGTTTATGGCACTCTAATGAACGAAAAGGTGCCAGATACTCCTACTTGGTCGGTCTTTTGCTGCTACTCGCATGTATAATAGCATTGATGTGCACTTGAATGCTTGCAGCGATCAGTTTACTTGCTGCCTACCAATATCTTTGGTAGGTAGTTCGGTAAATATTCGTGTCTACACGCACAGACGATTTTCATCGTGGATACACTGCCTTATAGACGACACGCACCACCTGGTCGCATAGGACGAACTGTCGCCAAGCTGTTTTCGTCTCGACACGTGCGAGTTTTCCTGCCACTTGTTCGCCGTTGTGGTTGCTTCGAAGAGGGTTCGCCCAGAGGCCGCGAACTGACAGAATGCTGTAAGCTCTTCCGCAGATACTCCAGAACTACTCTAGCGCGTCGATTGAACGCTTGTAAATCTCACCAAGAGCGTTTGGACGGAACAGGTTCTGTTCGCTCTGCTCAAGAGAGTTCCGTCGACGAGAAAGGCGAACCTTTCGGGGTACCACCGCTTTCGGATAAAGGACCACGTCTTCCCGGCTATCCGGCCAAGAGAGGGGGGGGGCGTGGAAGGGCTGCTCATGACAGGGCTCGATGCCCGAGAAAAGGTGGAAACCCCACAATATTTGAAAAGTAGTGAGGTTCATAGGTTTTTAACCCAAAGAGATGCATATTCGCGTGGCACTTGAGAGAGATCCAAACGCGGCGCTTTCTCACCGTGTGCACAACGGCTCCCGCAACGGAATATCACGCGCACTGGGTGACAGACAGAGCAACCGCGATTGTTTCTCGCTTCGATGCCATACCATATGCTGTACCCGATTGCCCGCTCTCACGACGTGCATCATGGCTACCCTCCTCCTCGGCCACCGCAGTGTACTTCTACCGAAGTACCAGGCGGGGGGCTACGAAATGCTTGGGCCTGTTCCCCTGATCGGTTCAGACCTTGCTGTCCGAAGTCTTGGCCAGCTCTTGTCGCGCTCAAGTTCGCGATTGGCCATGCTCGACTTTGTCATTCGCGGACTGTTTTGGCCAACTTCTAGCGCCGTGGCTTTACACTCGAAAACAACATTGTTCACCCCCCCCCCCCCCCCCCCCCCCCC